GGGGGGGGGGGGAGGCAGCCCCAAGTCAGAGCCTTTCTGGAAGAAAAAGAAAAGAGCTGAAACCTGATAGTCCTTCTCAGGATCAGCTGGGGCCCAGATGGTCCAGGCGGCGCCCTGCCCCTTCCCTGGCCGCGGAGCTGCCAGAAAACTAGGGTCCCGCTGGAGAGCCCTAGAGACTTGGAGACCGAGGGGTGATGGCCCAGGGACGTGGGACAGTTCCAGGACCAAATGCCTTTGGACCCCAGCGGCCGACAGTGGACATGGGGCAGTTTGGCTCCCAGAGGAAAGACCACCCCCCACCTCCCCGGACTGGGTCTGGGGCAGAGTGGGAGCGGCAACCTCGAGTTCCCTGTCTGAAAGTCCTGAGCTTTGTGACCTCCTCTGGGACTCAGTTTCCCCGTTTGTGAATGGAAGAGACCCTCCCCTGGCTTCTCCTCATTGATAGGAGTTGGGGAGGGGGTGCAGAGTAGGTGGCTGGGAGAGCCCCCAGGATGCATACCTGCAGCTCAGCACCCCTGCCGTCCGCCTCTGCAGCTCATGGCCAGCCGTGTCTCCCTGCACAGCCGGGCAGAGGAAGTCCCTTCTCTGTGTAGAAAACACGCCACCCCCTCACCCTTCCCCGAATTTCACCCAGCCACGTAGTGGAAATCTCCAGGCTGAGCCACCCACCTAGAGCCGAAGTGAATCCCTCTGTAGCACCACAGACAGGTGGGTGTTCTGTTTACACACTCCTAGTCACAGAGGGCTCACCACCTTGTCTACCTGGGAAGCACTCATTGTTAGAGAGCCTGCTGAGCCCAGACTCTGTCTCCCGAGAGTTTCCACCTCTGGATCCAAACCTGCAGCCAGGATCCTCCCAGACGACACCACCTGCCTTTCCCAGACCCAGTTCCCTGTATCAGAGGTCCAACCTCTGTCTTTTTTCCATTCCATCTTTTCATTTGAAATAAGACGATAGAAGGAGGAGCCGGACCTGTTCCCGTGGTTCCTGGGCCCGGTGCTGTCCAGCGCCCCACCTGGACCCCCTCCCTTCCTCTTAACGTCTGCGTCCCAGCACCCGGCTGAGTTTCCCCCCTGGCTCTGCTGGGCTCTGCTCCCTCTGCCTGGAAACCCCGTGCGAGCTGCCCGGCGGAGGGGAAGTGCAGGCCACATGTTTCTCGTTGGTGCTGGCCGACCTCCTCCCACAGCCTGTTTGCATTACCCAGATGTGTTTGATGTCCCAGAGCCCGCGGCCTTGCCTCTTGCACACAGGAAGGGCCTGAGCTGGCGCAGGAGCCCTGGGGACCCGGCCAGCCCTCCAAGCCAGCACCACCTCCCTCACCTGCCCCACACTGTGGGGAGAGGAAACCAGGGCCTCCTGGGTTCATTCCTCCTGTTCCAGGTGCATGGGTTCCTGCAGAGATCGGGGTGCAGACGGACGAGGCCCTGGGAGCTGTGTCTGTCCCCAGCTGGAGGCCGAGGCAGGATTAGAGCTGTGCCCGGGTGTTCCGGCGTGGTCACCGCTGTGAGCTGAGCGTGGGCACAGCAGCGTGTCGGGAACGGGCGGGAGGCTCAGGCTTTTCAGCACCTCTGCCTCCAGCACAACGAGAGGGAGAGGAGGACCCAGTGGGTGCCCACGGCCAAGCTGAAGCCCATTCTGGTGCCGGGTGGGGATGGGGCACTCAGCCCCTTGGCGGGTCCGGGTTCAGCCCAGAGCCTTGGCTCTGGCAGGTCCCAGGCCCTCGCTGCCAACGCCGTTCCTCGTTGTCTGTGTTTGACCCACGGCTCTTGCCCGGCTCAGCTCCAGCCAAACCTCAGCAAGGCGGCCTGGCCCGGCCTGAACCGTGCCCAATGCTATTTTAGACGTCGCAATGGTACACTGCGTGGCCACAGAGCAGGCGGCTTCTCCTCAGCGTCGTCTGATGTCTGGTGCTGGACTCCTCCGGGTGCCACTCCTGGGATAGGCCCGTGTGGACTGGGAATGCTCTCGTGTCATTCCCGGGACCCCAGGTGATCTCCAAGGTGCCTTGTGGGATGTTGCCCTTGGGTGTGGTCTGGTCGGGGAGGGTGGACAATGTCCTGAGCGCCCGGTGTTTCCATGGAGAGCCAGACTGTACCTGTGCCCCGGGCCGGGCAGGAAGATGGTCCTGTTGAGAGAAAGGCTCAGGCACACAAGGGGCTATTTAGAGGTGATGGGGAGACGCCAGCAGAATCGGTATTTGACACCGTGGTTGAACTGTGATGGGTGTGAAGGAAAGGTCGTCAAACGTAGCCCCTTCTGTTCAGGTTTCTGACCCTCAGCTCAGGCCGGGCCTTGCCCAGATCAGGGCGAAATAGTCAGTGTCCTCGTTTCTGGGCAGGCATGGGGGCTCGGGCCTGATCCA